TCTATATCTATATCTATATCTATATCTATATCTATATCTATATCTATATCTATAGCGCATCTTCTAGTCCAGCATTTTCTCATCCTTCCATTTTAATATATTTCTTTATTGGTTTCCATTTAACAAATTGATTTTGTGTTCGTGTGTCCATTGCGTATGATAAACGTCACATTAAGTATACGACCCACAGACCACCCACATGGTTTAGTGCCATATTGTCTAATCGGTTGTTGCAGTTCTGTTGATTGGGTTGCCACACGACCATCAACTGCATCATCGACCTCTCCACCTCCCCCTTCCCAATTTCTGCTCTACCCCATTCCACACCCCATCCGCTATCTACAAATGAACGACATTGGCAACGAACTTTTCTTCACGGGAAAGACTTTTGCTGACGATGAGACGGCTGTACGAAGTCTAGGTTTTATTTTTATTTCCCTAAAAGGGTCTCATGGGTTTGTGAGTAAACATGTAACGTGAGTATGTATATTGTATACGTTCAAAGCAAACTGAGTTTATTTATACAATTTATTTATATTAGCCAGCTTATTAATTTGAGCACCCTTCAAAACCATTTTGTTTGTTAGGGTATTACGAGTCTTGTGTGAGGCGATGCAGCTGCAATTGGTGCTGGCCTTAGGCCAGAAGTTCTCACAGCTTTTGCTTATCGGCTGACTCTCTCCCGATCTCTCTGTTGCTGCGGAAGAGGGCCATAAATTATGCAGTGTGGTCAGTGATATGATATGTGTTGTGAAATTTGAATCGCGCAGAATGTTTGATTTGCTACACGCATACATACACACATACATACATAGATATGTACATGCTTATCAGACGCAACTTACGATGCGATCAAAGCCGAGTCGGTTTAATGAATTCTTCGCAAGGGGTATCGTGCGTGTGTGATTCAATTTAAGTGATTAGCTGACTAGTGAATTTAACGACCACAAGCCAGAATTGTAGCGATCAAATTACCTAAAAGCTAAACATATTTCTAATTTGATTAGGTGTGAAAAAACAGAAAATAAAAAAACAAAACAAATTGCCACGATAAGCGCTCATGGCGCGCCATGTGCCAAAGTTTTCGATAATAGCAATGTCATCGAGCACTTGATTTATTCCCGACAGGCACACACACTTCTTAAGAAACTGATTTATGACCCGTTTGGTATACCCGGCGTGAGGCTTGAACAGGTAAAGCGTCTGAAATATTTGGCATCTAAATTAAGGGTTAATTATTTTTTTTTTGCGCTGTCATTGGCGTTTTGATTAATTGCTAACCTCTGGATCTAAATCAATCAAAAAATTACAATGTGCACATTAACAATTCAAGTATTTCACAATTGACCAAATACTGAGAAAGTTGAAATAGTATTTCTTCTTTCCTTTGGCATGCATGCTTAATTAATTAATTGTCGTACGCAAACACACAATCACAAACACGAACACAAACACAAAGACAAACAAACATCTAAATATTAACACAAGAGTCGTCGGTATACAGCTGCTCAAATATATATTCGTTTTTATTTTATTTCGACTATGCACAAAACGTCTGGTCTAAAATAAACTGGTTTGCAGCGTTTATGCATGCAAATGTATGTGTGTATGTCTGTTTGCATCGTGGAATATAAACGAGATCAAACAACACTTAAGTGCTGCATGCCAATAACAGTGCTCAAAATATGAAATGCAATATCAATTTCTATTAATATACTATATAAATATTTTACTAGAATTTGAAAAGCGGTTACGTAAATTAAATGCATATCCTGAAGCTGGCTGCTATGAAACATCAGCGGTCGTGTGCACAGCTTTGAGCATGCTTTAAGACACGGCAGTTCTTGGTATACACTGCTAACACTGTAATATAATTGCATATGTTTTGTTACCAAATGAATCAAATAAACATTCGTCGATCACTTAAAGAAATATATATCGGCTTATCTTCAGATCTTATAAACCAATATGAAAAGACTCTGTAGGTTGTGCAAAGAGCAGCTCCGTTATTTTTAATGTTAATTAACATTTCTGTATGTTAACATCGCTGTTATGTAGTTGAACGTAACGTTTACATTTGAGTAACACAAAGTTAGCTGCAACAAATATCATGCTAATCATGTTGTTTTGACTACTTTCGCAGAACAGATATTGAAATAATAGAAAAATTGGTATTGTCAAATAAAATAGAAAGAAACAAATTAATATATCTCCAAGGCAATATCTGTTGTGTGTGCCCAAATATGGTTTTCTATTTCAAGAGCAACGTTGTACAGCCTCCAGCACTGCTGTACATGGGCCGCGATAAACACGAAAATGAGGAGCTCATCCGCTGGGGCTGGCCAGAAGATGTTTGGTTCCATGTGCACAATTTGTCATCGGCGCACGTTTATTTGCGTTTAAATAAGGGACAGACCATCGATGATATACCCAGCGATGTCTTGGTAGATGCAGCACAGCTGTGCAAAGCAAACAGCATTCAGGGCAACAAGGTAAACAATTTAGAGGTCGTCTACACCATGTGGGAGAATCTTAAAAAGACGCCCGACATGGAGCCCGGTCAGGTGGCCTATCACGATGAAAAGGCGGTGCGTAAGATACGACTGGAAAAGCGCATCAACGAGATCATTAACCGACTGAATAGGACCAAAACCGAGGTAGAGAATCCCGATTTCCGTGGGCAGCGCGAGGCGCGAGATGCTGCCGAGCGTCAGGATCAGAAACGCTTGCAGCGCGAGAAGCGTGAGAAGGAGAAGGAAGCGGCCAAGCAACGTGAGCTGGAGGCTGAACTGCGCAGCTATGCCTCGCTCCAGAAGGCAGAGAACATGCGCACCAACTATGATGCCGGCAACGAATCTGATGACTTTATGTAGTAGTTACTTTGCTACTTTAGATACTTAACACAAAATTGTATAATATATATATTGTATATATAATTGTATAATTGTAAAGCGAGTGTAAAACACAAAACAAAAAATTGTAATAAAAACGCTGTTAACCAATCTTGGATGTGGAGTCATGATTTAGCTTTTCAAATGTGGAGCAGTTCTGTTAGCATGTGTGAACGCAGTTGGTCTGGCATCACTGATTACGATAAAATGCGCGCCATTTAAATGGGAACCGGGCTAATTGCAAATGCAATAATTATGCAAATTTTAACGTATGTATGTATACAAATAAAATTATTTGCGTATTTTTCGAAGATTTTGTTTGCAGCTTAGTCTATAATTCTAATTTCATAAATTATTTAAACCTCCTCAGTGTAAATTTTTCGAATTAAATAACCCTAATTTGGTTCGTTAATGGGAAATGTTTAGATATCTTATAGACGGAATGAGGCGTGGCAGACCCCATAAAGTATACATACATACATATGTATGTATGTACATATCGAATCGTTATAGCCATGTATGTTTGTCTGTCGGCTCAGAAGTTATTTGTAATGTATGTAATTTCCTTTAATGCAGCCTAAGCGAAATCGAAGCCAACTGCGCAGTTAGCAGATCGCTTACTTATTTACATACATATGTATGTATGTTCATTTGGACGCATGCGTAGTATGTATGTATGTACGTGTGCCTAAAAGGGGCTGGAATGATTGGAGTATCAGCTTTCTGCAGAATTCAAGGGAGCAATCTTGACTGGAGCATTCTGTGTCAAATTGTCAAATTGTCCACTTTTTATTGTTATCAGGGCGAAATAAAAAAAAGATAAAGTAGTGGTGAATAAAGAAATGTTTTCTCATTTATAAAAGTAGAATGCGGCGTTGGGCGGAATTTAGCAGCTAAAATGCAACTCGAAGCCCAGAGATTTGTTTTTGTTTTTGTTTTATGTCTGCGGCTGGAGGCAGCGCCGATGCTGTCCTTGACAGCTCAATTTACGGTTTGGGTAGCTTGTCTGCTTTATGGAGCGACGGCTTGTTGCCTTTTTGAGATGTTACGCAGCAATATATGGGGGTACGCACATGGCCATTGTTGTTGCTGCTGGATGCTCGACATTATGGCTGGGCCAGCTGGCGGCGGGTCAGCAGCGTTCAGCACGCACTCATTATCGCTCGTTTTATTTTCACGCATTGTTCATGCCGTGCTCCGGCCCCGGCTCCAGTCCTAGTCCGTTCGTTGCGAACAAAAAACTTGATGAGGCTGCGTGTCTTTTGATTATGCCATAGCTCACTTGCAGCACTTCTCACTGAGCCGCCCATTGACCCTTCTGCCCCACAGCTCCCCTCGTTGTTTGCTTATGCGCAATGTTGCTGCCATTATGAGCGCTCGTAAACATTGATGACAGTTTGGAGGCGCAATGACCACGCCTCTTTTGGGCCGTTTGGCCCGTTACGTTCCCATTGATTGATTTCAAGCATTCGGCTCTCGATACTCTATGCAAATATTATGGTCACCAGCTGACGGCAATGTAAATTGTTAACGGCGCTGTTATTGTGACGCTGTTAACCCAATGTTAACCAAGAATTGAACTTCAAACTCGCTTTCAATTAACAGAAGTCACACACTAAAACAACACCGAGGGGCGGGCTACAAAGCTGCCTGGCAGCGGCGGACAAAATGTTGCCCGAGATCATCTTTACGATGTGTTCAACATTCTTTATGAGCCATTGCGAAACTTTTTATCGAAAGTAGCAAATCTCTACGACAAGTCTCCCCAAGGGAGAGAGCGTACAATTGGTTAGTTAACTTGTTGCTACGCTCAGTGTCCTCTGCCTGGCCTGGCTCCATGCTGGCTTCCTTTAAGAGTCAATTTGTCGCTAGCTTGACCAGAAATTTGACCATTTACTAGCCACTGTGAGTATGCTCAGAGCAAATACTGTTCTCAATTGGCTTAACCTCTATTCAATATTTGCTTACTCTTAAAACTTGATGATTCAGAGAAAAGAAACACCTGCCTAGTCTCAAGTGATCTTCAAGCATAATTTAATCTTACTTTATACATATATACCATCATTTTTGCTTGACAGAGCATCCGCTAGTCTGGCATACCCTACCGGGCACGTTGGATTCGTTTTAAAATGGCTCCAATCAGATGCCGTAAATGCGGCAACTTAGTTTCGGCTGGGAACTATAATAAAGTGACAACCATGAGCATGAAAGTGGCCCTGGACCCTGGGACCCTGGCCATCCCGCCCGCCCCTCGTCTCGCTTTGGTCCCTTTTTCGGGGCATCCCATTGCGTCGTGCTCCACTGTCAAAGCCGCTCATCACTCAGCGCCGCAATGGCAGTCATTAATCAAATGCCACCAAAAACACCCACCCACCGGGCAGCTCCCCTCCGACCCGTCCACTCCTCCGGCCGCCAGCTGCGGTCGCAATGACAATGGAACGCGTCGCTTTTGGGCTTTCATTGCATTTGTCACGCAGCATCCGAAGTTGCCGAGGCATGGGAAATGTCACACTTGTGTTGGCGTCCAGTTGCACAAGGACAAGGACAACTCCCCATCTCTCCATCTCTCTCACCCTCTCTCTCTCTCTCTCTCACAGCCCTTTAACTAGTGTGCGTGTGTGTCTGCCGTCTCCTATGTCTGCTCTGCGCTGCCTTTTTTTTTTCATTCAGTCTGAGCTTAATTATTAGTCTATTCTGATTGTTGTTACGTTGACTGGCTACCTCGCTTCCTCTTTTCCTCTCTCTCTCTTTCTCTCTCTCTCTCTCTTTCTCACTCTCGGGTTGGCGGTGTTAATTAACTTGCTTGGGAGCAATTAAAGGCAAGCTTTTTTCGTTGTGAACAGATTCACAACAATTTAAGCTTAGATTTATACTATTTCTCTATATTCTAGATACGAATGTAAATTTAATATTATTTTATTTATATACTCTCAATTCGAGCACTTTGCTGGGTCATAAAGTCTTCTTGATCATAAATAAAATTAATTAATAAGATTCATTGAGGTTTGAAGCACCTTTGGTCTCAGACAGCTTTATAAGTAAAATATTCCAAGTTTTTCAAAATGAAAATTTGTCAGAATGAAACACAAGACTTGAACTGATTGAACTTTGATTTTATTTTCTAACTCAAACTTTTAAAAATTTGATTTATAAAATCCAGATAAAACTTCAATTTATAAGCAAAGTAGAAAAAAGGATCTTAACTCTTGAAATCTTGGTATTAAGAGAATGTTTTTGGATCTGCCCTCAAGGTAGAGAAGCATGAGATTTAGCCAGACTTGAATACAATTTTAAAATGTCAATATTTGTTTATTAATTTATATTATATATTAGTTCAAAATCACATATGCTACAACTATCTGTTTATTTTTTTTTATTTAATTCGATAATTATCAGCAAAAAATTGTATAAAAATAAGTTTTCATATTATTTACAATTTATACCTAAGAGAGAAGTCATTAAATTAATGTAATATGTATGTATCTATGTATATGCATACTATATACTACATACATATATACATATGGCATATACATATATCTGACAGGACACTCGTTGATTAATCGTGTAATAAATAATTTTGCTTTGGAAGCTGCTATCAGTTCATCAAAATTCGCTTTTCACATTTGTTTGCGCATTGTGTTGAAATCCATGCGCGTTGCTTCCAGGCATGCCACATGCCGCATGCCGCATGCTGCATGCCGCACAGCGTCTGCCATCGTTCATGCATGCAAACACACAGAAAGACGAAGTCGACCAACTGCAATAGCGACAGCAGCAGAGCTAGAAATTCAAGCTAGAGGCCCTGGCGGAAGCGGAAGAGTCGCGAGAGGGGGCGGGGGGGACATGGCCATGTGGCGTCCATGAGGGCAATCAATCAGCTGGCCAAACTATTAGAGCAAAAGCTCGACTGGCAACGCGACTCCTTCAGCTTCGAGCTGAATTGCTTAATGGAATTGTGTATTAATTTCAACTCGACGTGAGTATATATACACACAAATATATTTAAATGGTAACGACCTGTGCTATAATGCTGTAGCTTTCGGAATTGTTGAGCGAATTGCAACAGCAGTTGCAGCGATCGCTCGTGCGGCAGACGAGTTGCTTTTCGCAACATTGAAATTGCTGCATTTTATGTGACTGCCTCATATAAATGTGCTCTCCAGATTATCCCAGGACCACCCCAGGACCATCGTAGACATCCACTCACACACACACACATGTCTTCAAATGCGCTGTTATGGGTTTGTCCTTGTGCTGGGGCAGTGCGACGACAAGCGAAGGTTTCCGGCAATTGCCCCGGAGTACTGCGGCCCCAGTAAGCTGATTTTTGTGCTGCTTGATACCTTGTAATGGTTTTGCTGATGAAACCGATTGATACCCATCAGACTATATATATAGGTATTGGCATATACGGGAACATAAATCATAAGTACAGCTATAAAGAAGCTGGTCAAATGAACTCTCAGCTCATTTAATGGATTCTCTCTCCTCTCCATCCTTTTCGTGTCTCTTCTTTCTCTTAATTTTATTCTCTCTTCTTCCGCTTTCTTTATCTTCCATCTTCTCTGAACTGCTATTTTGTTTCTTTTACCCTTTCTCTCATCATTTTTGTCTTCTTTATCGCATTTTTTTGCATTTTTCTGTTCTCTCGATTTCTTATTTTGTCTATTTTCTTCTTTCCTCTGTACTCTTTCTTATTTATATTTGCTTTTCTCTTTTCTCCCTTTACTATCCCTACCTATCCTGCTTATTCTTATTCCTATTATTATTGCTCAAGTCTTTATCTTTCTTTTCTCTTTTCCCATTTTACTTTGTCTCTCTTCTTTCTTCTATATCTCGGTTCCTTGCCATCTTTCTTGTCTCTCTCCTCACTTCTATTTTTTTTCTTCTGTTCTATTTCTTATTTATTTCTTCTCAGTCGCTTCTTTTCTTTCTTCTTTCGTATCATTTTCTCTCTCTCTTCCTTGTCCCCGTCTCTCGCTTCTCTCTTGTGTTTTCTCTCTCCTATTTTAACTTTATACATGCGTTTTTCCCTCTCCTTATCCATCTCTTCGTTGTCTCTCTCCTTACTCTCCACTCTTGTCTCTTTATTTTCCTTGACTTTATTGCTCCTAACTTTCTTATCGTTAGCTACCTTCGGAGTCATCCACATGGAAGCAAAGCTACCCCATTGTCCTGGAGTTTACTAGGTAGTACAAGCGCTTATTTCATGTTTGCTGTCATGGGAAGTTTGCACTGAGAGAAAGGATAGGGATAGGAAGCTGTGAAATTTCATTTGAATGTGTCTCAGTGGACAAATCAAAGTTAACGAAGCTCCGACATTGGCTCTAGCTGCTGGAAAAACACCAGCAGCTCGAAAAAGCGCGCGCGCACAAAAGAAAATTTAAAAATCCGCAGAGTAGCGAAAGAACAACAATAATGATGAAGAAGAACAGCGCGTAACAAGAATGCCTGTTAAAATATGATAGGTAGCCCGAGCTGTCGGAGCAATGCCTGCCACAGGCCCCTCGAATACCTCTTCATTCCCCTCGCCCAACCAAGCAAAAGCAATTAAGTTTTCGTTCCAGCTGCAGTACATAAATTTTTGGCAACAGAATAAAAAATATCTAGGCTGTGCAGGGGTGGAGAGAGGGAGAGTAAGTGATGGTTGATGAAAGGTGAGTGGGGATGGGCGGAGGGCTGTTTACTGTGTACCATATCTGGAGTCTGGAACCTCGCTTTCAACCAATGCTGACTAGCTGTCAGTTAGCCTGACTGACTGATATCCAAAGCAGATTCGCTTAAGCTCCATGAGTCTCTATTTTATCTATCTATCTTAATGAATCAACAAAGCTTTCGTTCTGTTCCTAAAATCTCGAAATTAAGTTCTCGAATCTAGTTCGTTCAAATCTAGTTCAATTGAGTGAGCTGTGAGTTCACAAGTGAAGTGAAAAATCGGCAATCGAACGAATTTCAGTAGTTTTTGCCATTTCCATTTGCATGGATATCATGCGGGATATATTTGGTAAAGTGATATGCATATTAGTTGGCTTTAAGATGTGACTTAAAGCGCTTAACCGAAAGCAAACAGGGGCAACATCTAGTTGGCCAAGCGGGGCGAAATGTCCCTGACATGGACCAGCAGCAGCTGGGCTGGCTAAGGAAGGAACAGCCTGGAGCTGGAGCATTCCGCTTAAGCAGACAATTTGGCAAGTGCTGGCAACGTGGCAACAAAGTGCCACGCCCAGCGCATATAGGGCGGTGGCTGCCACTATTTAACGCAGCAGCAGCAGCAACAACAACCGCGACAGGCTGCCTTCGCGTGATTTGTGTGCAAGCGCACTTCAAGGACACGCGACGCACAGGCGACTCTCACAGAGGGCAGCAGGAGAGGCAGGAGAGCGAGGAGATAGCTGCCTGCTGAAAGGGTCTATGGCTGCACTTTACTATGTGCCATTGTGGCCATAAATTCAATGCACTTGAACTGCATGCTCCGCGAGGAGCAGTGCGGGAAGAGGCATGAGAAGAAGGTTGCAGCAGCGGGTCGGAGATGTAGCCAAATTGAGACACAGGGTCGACATCAAAGTCAGAATCACAGCTCTCAGACTCTCACAGCAATCGCGTCTTGAGCACATCAGCGCATCAGAGTCAAAGGAATTAGAGTCGGATTGGGAGTCGGAGTCGGAGTCGGAGTCACAGTCACAGAGCATTTGAGGTCATAGTCCGGTTCCGGTTCGATGCCTGAGGCCGAGCCATAAGCCTCGTTTATGACCCCAGGGCGCAATTGCTCTTCGCTTTATGCATCGTTGTCAGCAGTTTATGCGCCGTTTGGTCATTTGCCCAAATTGTTTATGACCCAAAGGAGGCAAGGCAGAGCAGATCCAGCGGCCACATGGCCAAAAAGGCTGAATCACATTTCTGTATTGGCCAGGCACTTGCCAGAGCTACAAGCCATTAAAACCGAACATTCCGTACAATTTACGACAGATCTGCCACCCTATACAATCATTTACTTAATTTCAAATTATATTTAATATTAGCTTCGAATGCTCAACTTTTATCATTGGGAAGCAGTCTAAGTGATTGCCGGATAAGTCGTAAGAGATTCGAATGCCAGCTAATCGAATCTATGACAAATATTGTATTGTACGAAAGCGGTTAAGAAGAAGAATACGGATTACTGCTGTAGATCTTTGCCTCTTCTTCTTGGAAAAGATCTCGTCTGGGCGCTTTCTCTCGACCGGGCCGACACCTTCGTCTACATACAATGAAACACAGAGGGAGAGGGAGATCATGGGAGATAAATTGAAGGGAAAGGAAGAGAGAATAGCGGAGAGAGGAAAGGAGATAGCGAGCGTATGAGAGATAAAGAGAGAGTGTTCTTATAAAATGTTAAATAAAGCTTTTGAAATATGGTTTGTGATTACTTAAATGCCGACTCACCAATTAAATCTAAGAGTGAAATTTATATTCAATCAATATAAATTAAATACATTTATAAACGAATGATTTACCAAAGTTCCTCGTCAAGAAGGTTAATGAAACACATTGGACTTGCATTAAATATAATTGTTTCAATTTAATTCCCGAAATGTATTGTATATAATTGTTCGTTTAATAATTTTCGCTTTATTATAGTATACGAGTATATACATATATTATATATATACATATGTCTGTGTATATATAAATATGTCTGTATAGAAAGTTTTATATATGATGCGCACAAATACATACATATATTACATATACGTACATTTTGCACTATTGTATTTAACTCTTTTTAAAATTTTATCATAGAAACAAACATTTGAGTACCCTTTTACTTTTGAATTTGGAACACTTTGTCGAACGAATCTTTAGTAGGGATATTCCTTAGCTCCTGTGTATTTTTACTTATTGTACAGGCTCTTGTCACAATGAACATGTGATCAATTATTTCTGTGCACTTTACAGCACTGAATTATTGAATAGAAACTTGTTCGCATGTTCAATTTGCTGCCTGTTTGCCAGACCGATTTTTTAGCTTACACTGATTTTTCGGAGCCAAGAAATATATATATGTATATCATTTATATACATATATAACTTATTTTTCAATTTTTTTTTATTAGCTTTAGTTGTAATTGTATTTAAGGTTTAATTAGTTGTTCCGCATAGTTTGCACTAGAATATAGTTGGTTTTTCACATATAAGAATCTTAAAATATGTATTTATATATATATATGTATGAATGTATATATATTTGTGTAACATTAGTTTAATTCAGTTGGATGGGTTGTTTATTTGTTTAAAGCTTTCATTAGTTATCCTCTTGGTTGTAGTTGTTCCTTAGTATTTTATTTATTTTTTTTTCTCATATTTTTGTAGTTCTCCTTCTTGGTCGAAAGTTAGCACACAGGCAGATTACAAATTACAGTTATAGATAGACATACAGATTGGTAACATAGATAGTTGGTTAGCTAGATAGATCGATAGATAGAAGAATAACACATCTATAAAATGGACATCGAGAAGATTATTCACAGTATATAGAATATGTATATATATATTATAGTTGGCCAACTATATAATATTTGGTATGCAAATAAACGTAAATATTTTTAGCGGCTATAAAGAGGCATAGACAAATTGACATATTGGCAATACAGATCCGACCAAATCCTAAATCAACTATCCTGTGCCGTATGCATAGAATTGCATGAATAGTATTTTCTTCGTTCTCTTTTACTTTTCATTTTTCCTTTTTTTTTCGTTTCAGTTCATTTCTCCTTCTAATTAAATTTGGTTACAGCTGAAGTCTCTTTCTCGATTGCTTAACTCGATAGAGTATCGTGCTCGCAAGTTTTACTCTTTCCATTTCCAAGTGTTCCCTCAATTTAGAAGCTCAATTTTCAGCTTACAAAATATATTATTGACTTAATGAAAAAAAAAAAAAAACAATTAATTTACCTGAACGAGCATTAAGATCCTAATTCACGTTAGTTATTAAATCGAGCTTATATATATATAGATATTGATAAAGATATAGATATAGATATAGATATAGATATAGGTATAGGTATCTAGGTATAGTTATACATACTTGTAGTTAGGAGATATAGCAACATATGTAATCGTATGTGGGGGATATCTTTTGAGCTTTTGCAACAAAACTGTTTTACTAGAAACGATCTATTTTAATTGATTATGCTAATTAAACAATTTTATGTATATATAGGATAACGAAATATTTTCTTTTTGGCTCTGGGTGTGAGAGTTATGGTGTGTTTGGGAGACTTGCGCGTAAGGTAGTGTAATCGCTTTGATAAACTATGCATGGGATGCAGAGTGGCAGACAAATGCTGAACAGCACGACAAAATGTTAACGAAAGAGGTTTCATAGCAGCGAGCTTTGTCGCGGATGAAATTGAAGCCAGGCTCCCTCAGCAAATAAATAGAGAGAGGCAAATGTTAACGCAAGCGGTTTCATAGCAGCGAGCTTTGAAGTGGATCAAATTGAAGCCATGCATCTTCAGCAAATAAAGAAACAGAGAGAAAGAGAAAGAGGGAAAGAGAGAGTGATAGATAGAAATTGCGTGGCTTTGAGTTTTTACATTTATACATTGTAAATTGTAGTAGTTGTTGGACAGTTTTGTATTTTTGTAGAATTGCATTTAGTACTTTTTATTATCAACTTCAGCTGTCTATTGACATCAAACTTGACTTACTCGCTGACTTACTTATGCCTTAGCTGTGCTCTCTCACACCTGCACACAGTCACACGTACACACTCACACACAGTAACACACACATACACACACGCACACTTAAGCCTTAACATACACTCTCTCTCTCTCTCTCTCCTTTTATCTACACCTGCTCGGCACTCTCATCCAGCACCATCGAGTGCAGATCCATGGCGGAGCGCGTCTTCCTTGGGGGTCTCGGCATCAAATAGTGACTCGTGCTGGCACCCACGAAAACCGAATTCTGGCGTGGCCGAGAGACGTGCGAGACGTGCGAGGCATAGCCTGAAACAAAAATAAATAAGTATTATTATGTGCTATATGATAGCGGGCATAGAAGCATGATAATGATAATGCTAATGATTGCTAACTGCACAAAACTATACTAATAAAATTATGAAAATCGTAATAATAATGATTATGATAATGGATTTTCTCATCCCAATGCATGAAAATTGATATGATGAAAGTGTTAATGAAACATAGTATAACAATATATAATATAATATAGTTATAATATTAAAGAAACAGATGGTCGTTATAAGAAGAATAATAGTACTCATAGATAGAGTTTTGATAGTGCCTCGTTTAATATCTAATGCAACTATTGTTATTGACAGGCTAATGAATTAGTCATAATCCAAACTTTATAGATTCATTTAATATCATCAGTGGCTGCACACAATCGACTGATCATTTACTCACACACATACACACACACGCACACTCAGACGCTCGAAAAGCTTTCCTTTCCCATTTCACCCATTACGCATTCCACTTTTAGCAATTTTTCCATTTGCGAATCCATGAGTTGCGCGTCAGCATGTGTGTGTGCTTGTGCGTGTGTGTATGTACGTTTCCACTAGATTTAATTGCATTGCTATTGTCGTAGTCGGTCTCAGAGCCCGAGCCAGAGCTGGACCTGGAGTCAGAGGATTCTGGAGCGCCAGCAAATGGCATTAAAATTGTATTGTTATTTGCTTCGCTGGCGCCTTTGGTTTCCCCCTTTTTGGCAGGCCTCACAGCATGCCACGCCCCTTCGTGTGCGGCCCCTCCCTTAGTGTTGTGCAGCTTAATTGTCTGGCAACTCATTAAAAGTCCAACTAGAATGCAGTACTTAAAGCAGGCAACGCCTCAACTAGCGCGCATTAAACATATTTATAAGCTTTATTTCGCTGCTCTGTCGCTCTCGCTCTCCCTCTCTCTCTCTCTTTCGCTCCTTCTCTTTGTGTACTCTCGTGCGCAGTGTTTACTACTCTTTCCAGTGAGTTGCATCTTGGCAAAATTAAGTCCTCTCTGACAGCGGCGCTAATGCGTAAAGCGCAAACATGTGCGTCCGGCATAAAAGACAAATGCATTAAGCTGGAGCAACTACTTAAGAGCTGTGTGATGGGGAGTGCACGACTAGGAGATACTCTGGAACTTGAACTACTTGAGCTCTGTTAAATGCTTAATATAAATGTACGCATATAAAATAAGGGATAAACTCTATTAGACATCTATCATCTATATTTTGCGTATAAATAATTTCAGTTCTAGTTTTTCATTGAGCTCTCTATAAGGCCTGAATAGACCAACAAGTTCATTCTATTTTAGCCCAACTAATCCTTTCAGCTGTTGCATATGGGCCTGAATTAATGATGAGTGACCCACATCATGTTATATTCACAAAGGGAGTCCACATATGTATGTACATAGATCATGCATGCATGTATGTAATTAGTCAAGCGTGGCTGAATAAATGTTGATATAAAAGTTTGCGGCTTCATCAACTTTTATAGCCCTTGAAAGTTGCCGGACATTCTACAACACTGCATACCATTAAAGGAAGTGCAGAGTTAAGCAACTCAAATTTTAGTTGTATTTTATGATGATTGAGCCAAGGCACTAATTTGCGAATAGTTCTTTTATGGTTACCAAATTTAAAACACTTGAGGCACCACGTTGATTAAAGTGATTATTAAATCAAGTCTCTGTAAGTTCAATAAGCTAGACAAGTCCTTTTTCTTCGGGTTCTTAAGGCAAAATGTTTGCAAACTTACAGCTAGTTCGATGCGATTAACATGGATGTTCATGTAAAATTTATTTGCATCGGAAAGTTTGCAACGCCGCGCACAAAAGTAGGCAACACAACATGCATTACGAGTTGACAACACACACACACACACGCAAAAGGGTCTATCGACTGTGTGTGTGTGTGTGAAGACGTTCGTATTTAATTGCATTTTGCATTTGCATTTTACGCGAATTTTTCACACGAAAACGAACAAACACAAATAAGTAATGAAGTAATGCACGACTAGTAGATGCTCTGTAAAGAATTTTTATTAGGAATATTCTTCAGTCAGGCAGTAATAATCGATGCTATGAAGGAACTATGGGGGACTAGCACAACTACAGTTTTGAGCTAAACAACAAATAATGCATATCGATATTTATCGATTAATCATGATTTCTCTATTTTCACGATCACACTTGATAGCAATTCCTGCAATGGCTGATGACATCCACTGTCATAGCATTGTTGAATATGAATGGGGTGGCAACGAAAAACGTGCAGCATGCAACATGAGGCACGAGTGTGAAGCGTAAAGGCCGGCGTAGCCGCTTGGTGCGGGCACGTGGCAAGGACATCGAGGACAATGCGCTTACCCTTCGCATATATGTTGGGATTATAGGCCGCAAATTGACACGTTGGCATATTCAAATTATGATTGTGCACCATGCCCATCGACATGCGGGACACCGACGAGCGCTGCAATGACAAAAACCAAAGAGAATATCAATGAGAGCTGTGTGGATGGATATGGATGGATGCATATATAGGATGCATATACATTCAATTGAATCGAATTAACATGGTAATTGAAAACTTTATGGCTGATGTCACAAGCTCTTCATTTAATTTTCATTTGAATAACAGATACATTTAGATTTTTTTGCACATTTCTAATAGATAAGAGATGACAATCTCTAGTGTATTTCGATATATGTATATATATATTACCTGATGCGTCTGCACGGCATCGATGTCGACCAGCGGACAGGAGCTGCGATGCTGTTGCTGGAACTTTGGCTGGTACGGCTCCAGCATGCGTATCTTACCCCAGCGATTGAAGAAGAGCATGATGGCGCCCACCCAGAGGATGAGTACGAGTCCCACAATCAGCACCTCCTCGGTGCGCACAATGATCTTGGGGCCTACAATCGAGATGGAAGTGAACTTATTTCAATTGTTCTCTATGAAATGTACGGTAAAATATGTTGTTTATTTGTTGTTGTTGTTGTTGTTTTATTACTATTTTTATTTTAAATTTCTGTTTGCTGCACGTACGACGCATAAATAACTCAAGAGGCCGCAAGAGTGGAATTCAATTATCGCGCGTTTGCTGCCACATTCTGCTGCTATCTCAGCACCTGCCACCTGCCACCTCACAGCTCACAACTCATGGCTCATGGCACTTGGCTCTTGGCTGTTCGCTGTCGTAGGGGGCAATTGGATTACAGTTAAGACCATAAACATTCAATTACTCGTATTCTGCGCAAGGATTTCTTTTAAAGCCGAACATGCGTCGCTTTTATGTTGTTTTACGATTTAAGCCTGATTCTTATCGTGTTTTCTTCCCGTGTGTGGAGGGATCCAGCAACACCAGTTTAGCGGTGGCAGGACGGTTATTTGCTTAGCCTGACAACATTCGCTGTTGGCAGCCCTAAAACCCTACATTAAATATTTACAATCCGATCTGGCCACATCAGAGATAGTGTCCATCTAATCTATATAAATATTCACCTCTCTGGCAGCATTATAATGGTGATGACATATAACAGCATTATACAATTTAGCTATCTGGCAGCACTGTATTATAAAACGTTAATTATCTGGCAGCACCGTATTAATCTCTTTTATCCTGCTGAACAAATTGTTTATATCTAATAGAGTTTTTAAAGTACTACGATCTGGCAACGCCAGCTTATACCTAAAACTTACAGATGCTCATACACCATACTTTTATGAATACTTTTCTCCTATTTCTGTTCTTGATGATCCGGCAACGCTAATTATACAAAACTTCGGGAATAAATTCTTGCCTAGGGAAAAACTCGATCCACTCACTTGAAGCAGATTTGTAATGAAGCTCAACTAAAACAATATTGACCATCTGGCAGTGCGATGCGTCGATCTGGCAACAACATATGCTGCGAAGTGCTTGTAAACTTCGCTGGATCAAAATTAATCTGTGAGCCCTTCACTCCCATGGCTGTCTTTTTTCTATTTCTTTGTCTCTTTCTCTAACTAGATAAGTTTGCTCCAAGTGAACTTAAAAATTAAATTTTATATTTAAAATAAAACTACCATCAAGACTAGTTAATTGATGAATGGGATGAAATCAGATAAACCGATTATATATGTATAATCCCAATCATAATGCCCATGGTACACTGAGCAAGCGTTGCGTATATCTCTTTGAGCTGGATTATGGGGGATCACATAAATTAATTGATTATGAATACGAGTTCGAACCGTTCAACTCAACTAACCCGTTTCGAGAGCTGTGCCGTTGCTGGTGGCTGTGGCCGCTGTGCCCGTGGGGTCTGTCTCCTGGCTGTTGGCCAGCTCGGCGTTGTAGTCCACGGATGTGTTGCTGCTGCTGTTGCTGCCACGTGCGGCATTTGGGGACATGGCAGCCGTCTCTTCGACCTCTACCAGAAAGTTGGTTCCGCCCTGCCAGCCGGAGCCCCATTCTGCGAAAACAGTTTTCTGAATTGAGTACATCGTTGTGGCATGTGGCATGCGGCATGCGGCATGCGGCATACGGCATGCAGCATGTGCGCCAGTTACTCACCTTCAGAGATGCCAGTCGAAGTGCTGACCTCCTCAGCGTGCACCGCCAGCTTCACAACTGGCAAATAGAGAGAGCGAGTGAGAGAGAGAGAGAGAGGGAGAAAGATGGAAAGAGGCGGTTACAAATGTTGCAAATACAAACGACAAACTTTCGAGTGCGGCACTCGAATGTGGCAAGTGGCAAATATTGACTTTGGTCATTCGCTTGCCTTGGCCAACAGCCAACAGCCAAATCAAAATCAAAATCAAAATCAACAAACTTTGCCCAAAACTCGGCCATCGACTCGTCATCAAAGAAACATTTTGGTTTCGAGATATTGTCTTCATACAAACATAAGTGCAAAGTACACACATCAGAGTTATGAATCCCGATGATAGATAAAGTCTGCTGAGTGTGTGCCAATTCCTTAGAGCAGACCCATCAAGTTACTAGCATACATAGATACTATTTATTTGACCTTTAGCTTAAATCATTTTCCACTTTATGTTTGCAACTTCTTGAGAACTCTTGCTAAGCTTAAAACTAGATCAATATGAGGTCCCATGTTGAATTATCAACAAATCTAAACATAAATCCGAATATCTCTAGATACATATATCGCTATATTAGCTCCTTTAGAAAGGGTTTTAGTGTAACATTTAAGAGAGTTTAAAGTTCTTTAGTTGAGCATGCTCAGTTCTGTAGTACCCTAACCATAGTTTGGGGCTGGATGATATATTATGTTTTCATATACAAATTGCAAATAATGATGACTACATATAGAAATAATATATACATATATTCTCTGGAATCTACCACACCTTCGTCTTTTCTCTTGCATAAATTTGAACAACAATCATAGTATATATAGTCCATATGTGAATCCATTTCCAACGATTCAAATCTTTGGTGCTCATTTCACTATAAATACAGCGTATCTAACAGTCGATGCACGCACCTGCATCATCAAATTTCCATTTGGTTCATTAGGTTCGCGTTTAGCTACAATTAGTTAGTCAACTAACGAACTCATTTCAATCTCAATTATCCGTTCAATCGATAGGCCGACGCACTTAACTTGAACTAGTTGTAAGTGCTGCCAGAACGTTGCACTTCACCAAAGTGGCAGCTAATTCAATTTCAATTAGTATCAAGCGCAATTTAATTGCCAGCCGTGGAAAACTTTGCCACTCGCTGCGTAAATTTCTCTCAAAATTACCTAGACAAGGGCTAGAGCTAGCGAAAGGGTTGGAGCGTCAGGTGTAGTACGTCAGCAGAAAATAACAAATGGTAGCGTGATTCCCCGGAGTGTTGCATGGCTTGACGCGGCCAATTCACATGTGCAACTTCATGTTGCATGCAACGGTTCGCTCTGGCACTACCCGGATATCCCACTAGAGGGACACACAGCCTCAGCCGCGGCCTGCGAAGGTTTTTGCTGCCGCAGAGTTCGTAAAGTGCTTGAGTCAGAGAACAGACATGACACATATACATCGCCACACCCCTACCCTCTCTCTCTCTCAAACACACACACACACACAGACGCACATTTAGCGTAATGATTGCTGGTGCTATGAACGCAATTTACGAATATGGGAAACTTAAGACGTAACTTTTGGCACTTGTTTAGTGCATTAAAAGTTACAGCTGTACCAGAACTAGCAAAGTGTGTGGCCCTGTGGAAGGGGAGCTCATTTTCGTATGGCTGCTTAAGGGGTAGAGGACATCGCTTAGCTCCCATTGTGATAATGACGATGCGGATGATGATGAAGATGATTTATGGCCCAACCACAAGAGCCGAAATGCCATCAATTTAACGTCTTCAGATAAAGTCATGCAATTGAAGTTGGCATAGCTGAATATGCACGACTGGGCAATACCCTGCAGCTGCTTAGGGAATAGTGTATATGTACAATGTAAGTACACTTGTGTGAATGTATTTCTATCATGCGTGTATGTAATTACGTGTAACTAGTTATTAGATTATGTATTACGTATCTAGTTATTGCTCACAGAAATCACATATAAAATTTAGTGGATATATTATATGGATATAGTGTCTATATCATATGTATAATGCTGTCTATAGTGGAACATACACATTTTACTCTCCTCAAATGTCAGATATCTGGTGTAGTTATCTGAATCTCCATTATATACTCATTTAACGTATCTTGATGTATCTCTCACCTCTTTTGATATATCAGATATTCGGTTATAGCTATCATAAATTTCTCATTTCGATACATCTAAAATAAACTAGGTCTATTACCAGCCATGCTCTATAAGTACTTTCATATACATATGTACAATGAGTCGACCACTTTTATATGATATTGTGATATGTAAGTTGATACGCTTTATGGCCCTGGCTAATGTCTCTTAAGTACATTCTCACAATTTAGTGGCGATTGGGTCTAATGCATTTGCTGATAATCTTCACCCTGACCTTGATAGATAGACCAGACAGTCATTAGCAAATAGTTAAGCTCCCGCTAACCCCTCGCTCTCTCTCTCTCTTTCTCTCTCTTGAGGCATTTAATTTATTTATTTACTTGCTGCTCATTTAGTTAATTTGGTTAATTTGCTTAATCTACGCCCGAAAATGAGCTAATTAACATGCACAATTCCCGCTAGACATCCGCGGGGCGCAAGATCTGGGTGAGACAGAGATACTGACAGAGGCAGTGAATGTCGAAATGCGAGAGAGTGAAACAGAAAGAGAGATAAGCAGACGACATTTGTTTGTTTATATTCCAAGAACTTTGCTGCATTAGAAATTCCCTGTAATTTATGAATGAAACTGTGAATAAAAATGCAAAGCATTAGCAAAAATAATAGAAAAAAAAAACATAAAGAAGAAGAAACTACATAGACTTATACAAATGTGTGTGTGTGTGTGAAGAAAATGACAACAGAAGCAGAAACAGAAGCCAGCGTGTGCAATAAAAGTGAAAAGATATGCAGAAAGGGTAAACCGGAAAGGAAGTGCAGGTAATCAGCTAATTTATGAGTGTGTATGTGTGTGTGTGTGTGTGTACGTGTGTTGGTGTGTGTATGTCACCAGGGGTAAGCCTGGCAATTAAATGCTCGTTAAGTCAAAACCAGGAGCAGCATGTGAGCTACTTTCAAAATTACTTAACGCAATTGCAGTACAGCCAGAAGACAATGACAAATAGCAAACAGGCCAAGCGATACGCTACTAGATATACCCATAGATACCCTTTAAGCAGCTATAGCTCTGAATTAATGAGGTACACTAATGTGAGTGTATAAATGTATATGTGATTTATGTTGATTACCAACTGCTACAGAAAGTACGTTAAAGTACATCAATCCAACTTGTAAATACCTGCGCTCTATATACATATACGTATATATGTATGTATCTATATTTTTTCTTTAACACTCACTGCACTCACAACTTTATACTTAAGCTAGAGATTAAATATTCTTGCATTAGTCATTGAAGCGCATATAGAAAAGTTAGCTAGCTCAACTAGTGGATACCCTTTAAATAGATTTTTGTTTCAGAGATATATAATATATACATATATATAAGCTATGTCTTTTCATATAAAGTTCATACTGTTTTTGATATACATAGTAATAATGTGAGACAGCCCATAAATACCCTATTATCATTTGTTATATACTCCATTTATTAATCAACCCAACTTATATGATGTTGATTTGCTTAAAATCTGAGAATATCTGATAGATGTTCTAAAAGAAGTTCATTCCAATTTTTAATGGCTTTTAAAAAGTCTGCAAAAATATAGTTAAGAACCTTATATAGATTGCAAGTCAATGCTCTCAGCTATAATACGCCTAAGTTCAAGCGACCATCTGGTCTACAGGGTATTTAAAAAAAAAATCGCAATTAAATTACAAAGTAAAATAAAAATGGTATTACGATTCCAGCTTGTGAAAAGCTGTCAATTTGCACAGCTGTTCAGGCATTCAACTGTAATCGTCTCATATGCTCCCGCCTGACGTGTATACCCTGCCCACACCTCAATTCAATCGCCGGGCATCGAGTACCAAAAGTATCGACTGAGATTGCCGCTTCAATTATGAGTAAATGTACTCAGGAGGACAGACAAAGCGAGAATCCATAGCCGATTAATAATTCATAAAGTATTAACAACAAGAGAGGCACACACACACATATATACACACACATGCACACACACACATGTGGGTAGCTTAATATAAAAGTAAGAAGTAATATTGATTTTCTATGCATTGCAATACACACAGACACACACACACACACTCAGACAAGCACTCAACTGTTTTGTAAATCAAGCAAACAAATAATACACACACGCAAACACACCTACACACGAGCACACGCACACACACACACTCAGTACGCACAACTCATGTGCTGTTAATTCAACATGACACATGCAAAATGCCACATAAGAAAGAGAAAGAGAGAGAGAGAGTGAGAGTGAGAGAGAGAAAACAAGAACAAATTACAGCAAAATAAAAACAAAAAGTGAAGAAGTAAGAGACTTGCCAACGGGTGTAAACGACTGCACTGATTACTATAGTAAGTTAAGTTAGTTAGAGCTAAGAAAAAACTGGGTGAGACAAGCAAAGATAGACTGTGATAGAGGGAGAGAGAGATAGAAAAAGTGAGAGGAAAATAAGTGAGAGACGGAGGGAAAGAGAGATCAGAAGAGAGGAAGAATGTAATAAATGAGTGAAGAGATTGAACAAAATTATTGCGAGGGAAATGGAACGCTGATAGAGAGTGAAGGAAGTGAAAGGAGAGGGAAGAGGTAGAGAAAGAGAGAGAGAAAGAGAGTGAGACGGGGGAGGGGGCGCGAGAAGGGATCAATAGCTAACATCCATTCTTCTTCTCCTTCCTGTCTTACTCCTTCGCCAGTCTTAGCTCTCTCTCTGCCTCTCTCTCTGGCACTGGCCTCGAAATGTTACATTCCGAATGCCACAGTCGTCATACCCATCCTAGTCAGTAAACTTCTCTTCCATCCATTCGATTGCAGTTGATTTATCTTGATAAACTCACGAATTGCTAAGCACTATTTCATGCCCCACTACGACCTCCCCCTC